AATCGCACACATGCGACTTTTCACTGATATCCAGTTGAGTAGATTGCCTTTTGCATGTTTATTGAGGGGGATATCGACACCATAGATACCTTGAGCTATTGACTCAGTATCACCAGTCACGAAGGGTTTAGTCATTACCGGCAGATTCGGGACCAGGGAGTCGAAGATTCGGCACGACGCAGCACACATCAATATCGAGAGTGACCGATCTGACCTATCGCAATGAGGCTGGACTTTTCCGAGGTGTGATGGTTTGTGTGCTTCTGAGATCCATTGAGCCATGCTGGGTGGTGCTTTTTTGCACCTTCAGAGCCATTCATACTAGATTGGTCAATGGTTAGAGGCCAGACACACAGCCTCCTGGTCCTCTAGGTTGGGGGTTGGAATGAGGGTGGCCCCTTATTCCTTAAAACGAACTCCTTGTATCCCAACGCCAAACCGCTGCCTTGCGGTTAGGTTTTTGAACCAAAGCTTTTGGTTGAGAACCCTAATCGTTCTTCTGTCTAAGCCTGGGCAGCCCACGCAATGCTATGAATCTTTCGTCAAACAATTTCTTGATGCTCTGGCCACCGCAGAGGATAACCAACCGTGCCCTATCTGCTGCATCAAGCAGGGTGGATAGGGGTTTGGATGCTACTGCTCAAGCCTTCCCGCCTTCTTCCTCCTTCTCTTACGCTTTTTCACTCTTACCGTCACGTTCCAGCTTCACTTTTATCCCTCCTGTTTCCAACCCTCAATTCTTAGCCCCCCCACCTTGCTTTGATATACTTTTACTTTCAGCTCACATGTGAACGCGGAGCATCATTCCTGCCCTGTCGACAAGCCCATGTCCAAGCAAGCGGCCAAGCCCAGTTCATCAGCTTCCATTTGGAGCCCTCGATCATCTTTCAGATTTGCATGCCTCAATGTACGCAGATTGCTACAGATCGGTCAACGGGCAGCACTTGTCCGAACCCTAGAGACCCTCTCGGTCGATATCTGCTAGTTATCGGTGACCCGCCTGCAAGACTCGTTCTCTATGCTCACTTTGCGACCCCCTTCAAGTGACACCAGCAGCACTTTCTCATTGCGCCTATCCGGGGACGATGTAGCTTCGAGCACCGGCCAAGCCAGTGTTGGTATTTCCCTGAGTCCCCAGGATTAAGCTGCTTTGATTGATTGGATCCCCATCGGTAGCCGGATGTGTGCGGTCCACTTGGCTGGCTCGTTCAAAGCTCCAAGACAGCACGGGACTAACAGGTATCTATCCGTCATCGCTGCCTATGCACCCACAAACTCTAGTGATGCTTCGGTAAAAGACGACTTCTATCGCAAACTGAACGTGCTCCTTTGTCACAGAAGAAGCTCGGACACGGTTGTGCTGGCTACGGATCTGAATGCTCAGGTAGGAAAATTATCCATTGATGAACTGCATCTGGGCAGCCAACATGGTGTAGGCTCCCATAATGATAACGGTGAGCGGTTACTTCATTTGTGTGGAGATGCTCGCTTATTTCTTGAGAGCACTAATTTCTGACACAGCACTCGCCGGAGGGTGACTTGGCGCCCACTAGCTTCGAACCAGCCTTGGACGCAAATCGATCACACTGCGATAAGTTACCGCTGCAGAGGCTGCATCCAGAACTATCGCTCGATTTGGAGCACATGTGTGGACACCGACCATGCACTTGTATGTGCTGACCTGCTGATGCGTTTTGGCAAACGCCCACGCCGACGTTGTGTGCGCATTGACACCAGCCAACTGGCGCAACCAGCTGTTCTGAATGCCTACCAAAGTACGCTGTCATGCGATTTGAGTAAGCGCTCACTGATCTCATATTCACCAGACCTTCTTAGCAGCAGGAAAATCCTCATCTGGTAAGTCTAATCGCCAACATGGACATTGGGTCTCTTCGCAGTCTCTGGAACTGATCGATGCTCGCCGGCATATTCCGGCTGGAAGCGAACACATTGAAACTCGCAAAGAGCTCCGAACAAGACTTCGTGCTAGTCTGAAGAGAGACCGCGAATCTTGGTGGTATCACCGTGCGTCAGAGATGGAAGTGGCCGCTGCCCTTGGCAACCATCGTAAATTATTCCGTCTGATACGGGAAACGGGCAACAGGAGACCTGGTGTTAGTGAAACTATACGTGACGAGAGTGGACAGCCTATCCACAAGTTGTCAAAACGTTAAGTGCGTTGAGCTGATCACTTTGAAAGGCAATTTAATCGATCGGAATTGTTCGATTCCTTGCCGGCCAGTGATCGCTCTGCTCCGTGGACTTCCCCTTTGGATCCACCCTCTCGCTCAGAAGTCGAACGTGAGATCGCACTGTTGAAGTTAAATGAAGCCGCGGGACCAGTTGATCTTCATCCAACCCTCTTCAAATTCGAGGACCTGCTCTTGTGGATGATTTATACAAGTTACTAGTGAAACTGTGGGAGCAGGAAACTGTCCCAACCGACTGGAGCTGCCCCGTTATTGTTCCCATCTTCAAAGGAGGCTCGCGCTCAAAATGCGGTAACCATAGAGGAATCAGTCTGATTTCAATTGCCTCTAAATTGCTTGCCTCTGTCATCCTTCACAGACTGACTGGCACTCGTGAAAGCCAGATAAGTGAGGAGCAAGCCGGGTTTCGTCGCGGTCGTGGCTGCATCGACCACATCTTCACCATGCGTCAGTTATTGGAGCACCGTCACACATATTGGCGGCCAAACGTTGTCGTGTTCCTCGATATCAAAGGTGCATTCGATTCAGTGGATAGACGTGCACTTTGGGACTGTCTACTCAGGAAAGGTGTACCTGAGAAATATGTGAATATTATCCGTGCATTATACGCGCGTAGCTCAGGCAGAGTGAGGGCTTACGCCGAGCTGTCGTTGCACTTTAATATCTCCAGCGGTGTAAGACAAGGATGCCCGCTGTCACCTTTCCTCTTCAACTTCGCTATTGACGAAGTAACGGAAATCGCCTTCACAGGACACAACTTAGAAGGTGTGTAGCTACTCCCAGGAGAACGACTTCTTGAGTTGGAATATGCTGATGATATTGCCCTAATCTGTGACAGCTCCCAGACGTGCCAAGCCGCATTGGACAGATTAGCATTGGCTGTCAGCCGCTTCGGGCTTTGCTTCCCACCCTAGAAGTGCAAAGCTTTCCTCCAAGGTTGGCCTGGACCGGTTCCTACGCTGACCCTTTATGAGGATCAGCCAGAAGTGGTTCAAAAGTTCAACTACCTGAGAAATTGTATCAGCGCCCTTGGGATTGAAGATGAGATCACGCGCCGTATATCAAAGCTCGGGGCGCTTTTGTTAACCTTCGCCAATTATGGCGCCGGTGCGACATCACTCTCGCCCTGAAGGGTGGAGTGTACACTGCAGCGGTACGTTCGACCTTACTGTACGGTTGGGAAACCTGTCTCCTTAGATCATCGGACATAAAGAGGCTAGTTACCTTCGACCATCGGTGCTTCGCAATTTAGTTCACATCTGGTGGGAACACCGAGTAAGCAACGAGCGTGTTCGACTCCTTGGTTACGGCACATGAGAAGGAAATGAACCGCTCAGCACCGATATTGCACCTATCAGGCTCCGATGGCTCGGTCACGTGTTACGCATGCCAGCTTACCGACTCCCGCAATGTGCGTTGTTTGCGCGCCAGAGGTGTGGATAGAAGAAGGGAAGGGGTGGCCAAGCGATGACTTGGACGAGAGGAATGAAGACCCTCACTCCGAAGCTGGCCTCGGTTGGAGCGTCTTGGCTTCCTGGTTGGAGTCCGAAAGACGAACACGTTTGGCTGGATACACTTGCTGATATAGCAAGGCGCCGACCTCAGTGGCGTACATGCTGTGAGTTTCTTTGTCCCTCCCTATTCCACTTAGCCTCCCCCTCCAACCACGATCTCACTATTTAGCCTTATATACTTTTTCATAGTAATTGTTTTTGCTGCATAGTATCCGGCTAGTAGCTTACCGAAACGATGCCCATCGGTTGCTGGTAGCTCAGCTGGCTTACACCTCTTGCATTCCCCCTTTTTTGATTGTATATGTTGCGACACAATAGCTGAGGTGTTTCCCACCTCTAGCTAACGTGTATAATGATGATGATGTACGTTCTAGCATTAAAAATCCCATGTGAAATGTTACCCTTGGTTTGAAGGATAAGTTAACTATGTCGAAGATTGCCGCTACGTTTAGTGGCAGCCTCTTGTTCAATAGATGGGGAAGGAAAGAGGGGAGAAGGTAGCGATAAATAATATGAGGAAAAGAGAGTGTTTAAGACTGGGTCTGGAGGGCAGATGATTCTCTCTGGCCGCTCCTTCCGAGATGTGGGTTCTGGATGCCACACCTCACTCAACAATTTGATCCACAGAGCGTTGTATTACGCGGCGGTTCACTTGCTGGACTCCACCCGCAACTTTTGGATCGGTAACCTAACCCCCATGTCATTGGGGGGCAAGTCCATTTTCGTAGTGTGATTGCAACGCTTGAACCGAGTTCTGTGCACACGTCCTTCAAATTTGCCTGAAAGGTTGTGCTCATCTCCACTCCTTTTATGTTTATTATTATTACTATTATTACTGCTAATACTTTTCACGGCAATTGTATCTATTCCACTCTGGTACTAAATCATGGCCAACAGAAGAATGGTACTAGCTCAGCCTTACTTGTTTGTATGAGCCACCCCAACTATTCTCATCCCACCCTCCTATGCTCACCTGATCATTTACAATGTGCCTTCTTCATCGGACTCAACGAACGCCTAATGGCTAGCTGCTAGCTGTCGGAGCCCTAAAATGCTAGACTGCAATATCTGAATAGCGGCATCTTTCTGCCCCCAAAGGGCACCGCTACAACGCTCTTAGTCCAAATTCCTTCTGTCAGCGGTCATTCGGTTCAGTCCTGACCGATAGGTAACTGGACTGATTTGTACGGTATGTACACTCACCTTTCTGGTATGCTCGTTTTTCAATCCATTTTTCGCGAATAGCTGTTTTTATACAGGCTTTCTCACTTTACAGATTTCGTCACCAGAGCAGTCATCTCCTTGGGGTGGTGCCGCGGTTCTGCCTTCGCCGCAGCCCGTCGACTTATCCGATTACGTGCACGGAGAGTTGGGCAGCGACATGTGTATTGCCTACTCCCAGCGGTGCAAGCCTCCTAAAGTGCTCGCTAAACGTTTCCTCTTGGGCGAGACAGTCGGACGCGGTAGTTACGGCAAAGTGAGCTCCTAGTCATTTCGTCTTTTGTGCAGTGTCCTTAGCATGTAGTCCGGAAATCGATTTTATCTTGTTATTTTTCATAGCTTTGCCAGTTTCTCTCATGTGCTGGAAGCGTTTTGCATGTGGTAGATTACCAGACTCAGAAAATGTTTCACGCTGTGTTTTAAAGACACTCCGCTTTTCATTTTTTTGTCTTCATAATGAAGCCCTCTCAACATACTTGCATTAATCTGTAGCTGGTTTATGGACGGAGAGAAGTTATTGGAACCTTTTCTTTTTATATAAATAAATAAATAGTTTATTTTTCAACGCGTCTGACATTCAAGCATATGTGGATCTATCATAATGTACAATTTGTTGCAACAATAGTCGCAACATATTGTTACTTAGCGAACAGATATGTTGTTCCGTCCTTGTTTCGAGCCAAATCGAAATTCCTCAGGCAATGAGTATGGACGGAGTAACCTTCTAAAGAGAAAACGTGAATAGTTCTATACAAACTACGAAGAGGTGTGTAAAAGCCTTGACAGTGAGGATCCTAAGTGGAAAACACTAATATTTTCAGACATTTCTTTGACCTAACTTGATAAAAGAGCTTTCAGAGCTGCTAATTAACCTGTGTCTTACTAACGCATGACAATTTGAAAGCCAAACGCTGAGCATCAGCGTGATTTAAACAGAGGAATGCTGATACTGCGGTCACTAACCTACCGATGAGCTAGTGTCTACATTAGACAATAATCAGATTTGCAGCGACTTACTATCCTGGCCTACTAGTAAGTGCCAATGTGAATTTCGGCGATAACGACTAGGAGAGTGTGATGTACAAGCTTCCAATAATTCAGTGTTTACACCAGCCGCCCGTACAATAAAGATAACAAGCTTGTCTTCTACTCCGAGGGCGCGGGTTCGAGCCTGCATAAGGACAGGGCGACCTTCGCAGTATCCTTAGCCCACGAGCAACTAGTGGTGGTTACTCGACAGGGAAGCGTCGGTACTGCATACCGGCGTACTGCTGATGCCTTTCATGTGAATTGTAGGAGATAAATAGGACGAAAACAAAGAAGTAACGTCCGAGACAGACGGGAAAAACAAATTTGGTCGTGTTCGTCATTTTCCGATGTATATTATCCCAGATTCGGTTCCTTTCAGTAGACTTCTTGTCCTGGTAAAGTTAGTCTGAATAGCGCAATTGTTTTAATCACGAGCAATTTCTTACACGTGTGCTGGTCCACATACAGAGACTACTGCGCCGTGTCAGTAGTGTAGAAGTACAAAGACAACCAGACGCTGACGACCATACCAACGCCTCAACGGGACAAGAACGCTTGGGAGGCGCAAATGTATGTGCACTGGAATTAGACACAGAAGCAGCGCGCGCCACATAGCCTCCGTGGAAGGTTCAAAGATGAGTAGAACGGTTAGTGGTCAGAGCTGATGCATCAGGTTTGATAATGTTGGCCACAATAAAAAATACCCGGTTCGGACCTGGGGTTCTTGCAATTCTCTCACGGAGCACATGTGGAAATGCTCAGAATGGAATGGACACTGGAAGTCTGTTGCTGATGGTTGCTTATGTATTCAGGAAGATGAGGGTATGCGGGTGTTCTCCGAGCTGGTTGATTTGGTTGCAGACGTTTCATCGTCAGGCTAGACGCCATCATCATTATGCAGATCCAAGTGATTATTGATCACTTGGTTCGAACGTCAGGAGTCTATTGGTCCACGTGAGCTGACCGTGTAGTCAACTCTTGCGTACTATTAGCTAGAGTCCGCCTCAGTGATGTTCCTTTATCTCTTTGATCTGAGGCGGAGTATTGTTTTAACCCTCAGTGCTTCATAGGCAGTATCAAGATCTAAGTGTCGGTTGATTGAGTTCTTTCCTGAGTACCAAGCCTCGATGAACTCGCGTGCTTTTCGAGTTTTTGCCCTGACATTCTCCAAATCAAACTGATGATTCTCGGAGTCCATATGTACCGACATCAGGGAGTTCTGGTCATGTCGGCGGATGGCTAGACTATGCTCATGTAGCCTAGTGCCGAGCTTTCTTCCTGTCTGGCCCACATAGTATTTGTTGCAATTTTTGCAGTAGATTTTGTAAATCACACCACTTGTTTCTTCTTTGCCAAGCCGGTCCTTACCATTGAAGAGCTTGTCTCGGATGGTTTCCCATTGGCTTGTGAGCAACTCTGATTCCGAAAGGTAGTAGCAGTCTCGCCGCCATCTCAGAGACACCATTTATGTGTGGTAGAATGATTGTCTTTTTATCCGTTTCTGATGTTTGTTCATGCGTCGGTCGCTTTGTTGATGTTAAACAACGTAAAATGAAATTCCTAGGATACCCATTCTGTGTAAACATTTCGAATAGATGATCTTCCTCCGCTTTTCTCAGTTGCGGGGTACTGCAATGTGTCTGCGCACTTTTAAACAGAGTTGTTACGCAGCTGCGCTTGTAGACTGTTGGATGATTGCTGCGATAATTCAAGATTTGGTATGTATGCGTCGCTTTCCGATAAACTGTTGTCTCCAGTTGTCCAGCAGCATGTCTTTTTACTAACACATCCAAGAATGGTAGCTAACCATTGTTCTCCTCTTCTTTAGTGAAACGGATATCAGTAAACGTGTTGTTTATCAACTGATGTGTTTCTTCCAGTTTCGAGCGCTTTAGAATGATAAAAGTATCGTCCACGTAGCGTAGCCAGAGTTTAGGTTTCGCGACCGGGAGTGCGGTTTCCTCCAATGCTTGTATCACCGCTTCGGCCACTAGTCCAGATATCGGTGAACCCATTGGTGTGCCTGTTATTTGTTCGTAGGTTTGGCCGTTGAAACTGAAGTGTGTCGTGAGGCATAAATCCAACAACTCCATCATGTGGATGGCATTTATTTTATTGTTCGTGTCTGAAGATTTGCGTTGGTCTAGTAGTGTTGCCATCGTTTGCTTCGCCAGCTTGGTGTTGATTGAAGTGAACAAAGCCGTTACGTCAAAGGGAACCATGATTTCGTCCTCTTCTATTACTGTTTCCCTGAACTTAGCCAGGAATTGTTCTGCAGATTGTATTCAGGAAGAACTTCGCACTTATTATAGTACGCTACTTGCATACTAGTACGGGGAATTCTTTGTTTCGTATTTCGTAACAAGAATTGTATTCCAGTTGAAGATACTAACCGGCTTCATGAAGGCATCGGTGTAACCGATCGGAAAGGAGTGACAAGTTAAGGCCAAGCCTTCTGCGCCAAATCGGATCAAGTTAGCTTTTTTCAGTGTTCTGTGTAAATAAGTCTTCGACTTAAACCCAAAATCAATCTGCTAAAATGTCAGTTGCACGCACAACAGCGCCATTTTTCACCTTTCTGTGCGTTACAGTGAACCATCATTTTTCTTAGCCTTTGTGATAGCATACTGTACGTGTTCCGCGAAATTCAAACAGTTACGGTGATGTAATCCTAAGTCACGGACTACAGTACCACAAGTAAGCTGTTTATGAAAAGTCAGTGGGCTAGATCAAATACCACATCGGAATGAAGGAACACCACTTTTCATCTAACTGGCCCATTTTTGGAGTAGATCACCATTTTTCATTTACATGCAAATCAGATTGTTTGCTGCAAAATACGCGGTCTTACGAGGTATCGGATCGGATCGGTGTTCACAACTCTAATATCATCAGCGAGCATTTACGGGTGACAACGCACAGATGTCATCGTTGGAATTGCAAAGGATTCCGAACATTTTCTTGGATCACTCCACTTGTTTCGTGTCTGCGACAGAAGATGCATTTATTTGCCATTAAGATAAGATGGGAACCAGAAGCGTAAGGTGTCGACTATACCGAGCAATGCTAAGGTCACGAAATGTCTGTTATGAGGTACGTCGTCGAAGATCTTTTGCAAATCGAGAAATAGAAGCATAAGTTTTACACTGATCGACAGATTTTCTAATCTGGTGCATGGCAAAAACGACACTTAGGGTAACCATGCTGCGCCGGGCTAATAAATAATAACTACATAAATAATATATTTCTCAATAACGCGTAACACAGTCCAACTCGGTGGTCCGATCAAATAGGTACAACGAGATCACATGACGTACTTGGCTGCACCTTCTTCAATGCGGTTTATTAACGAACTTCGGGTAAACTGAAGTCGCATCTATCAGAAGGATTGACCGGTTGAGACACGGCAAAATGTCCAAGTAAAGTAACATAGCCATTCGTGGAACCGTCTACTAGGGACCTGCTTCTATGCAGGATATTCCCTCGAAAGGTTTCACACGCACTTCCATGCTTCATCTGGTCGCGTGCCAATGTGACGTAATCGCATTTATACCAACATCTTTACACATTTATGGGCTCTTTATATGCATAAGCTATGGGCTATCCAGCCATCCAGTCCGTTCTATTATTCGACTCCTTTCGAGCATGATACTTTTCTTTTGCAAACGCCAGTGAGCCAGGGGCAATACGCCTTAAATGGGTGTACATATTAGCCTGGAAACATCAATTTATCACCTCAAGAGATCAGCCCAGTGATGACCAACAATTAACTAAGGAAGAATAGAACTGATAAATTTAATACAATACTATAGTTGGTTCTCGACGTGGTGAAATTCAGTTCCTCACACGCTGCCTGGATGTTCCAGAATAGTTTCACTAAGTTACTACTACTTGAGCATAGAAATTGCCACACCTATCGACGCTTCTCAGAGCGCGTTCCATCGTGAAAACACAAAATGCTGCGTTAAACTTTCCGGCCAAATCGTATTTCTTTACGTGGTCCGTTTAGACTATGTAACATACCGTCTTTAAGAGGAAATTCACAAGTATTCCCCTACACAATCTTATCCATAACTTTAGGCGCGATAAAGGTATCGGTGGTCGGGTGCTTGCTTGTTACATTCTGTGAATAAGGCGACGCGATTCGAACGAGTTGTGTATTGGTGTACGAACGTATACATTGCATAACATTTCGAACATAGAACAGTGGGACTCATTTGCGCACTT